AGGATTAAGGATTTGGGGATCACCCAATTAAGTATTTGGTCAGTAGAATAGGTGTACATTTGATCCCATGTTGATGTCTCGGCAAGGCATGTGTATGAGGGGGGGGGGGGTCTCGTGAACGATCGGACCCAAATGGCAAAGGCCCATCAGGATACTTGCAGAGGCGTAGCAAAGTAGCGGATAATAAATAGGCCTTCATTTCCAAGGCATAGATGTAATGTTGTCTTTAAAAACCGACTGTACTAGTTTGGCTAGGAGTGAATAGACCGCCCAGGGTGCTCACTGACAGATGGCTATCTCATCAACTCAGCTCTCGATTAACATAAGAAGAGAGAATCATGGGGACCAATGGTCACCGATTTATTATAGGCTTGTCTTCTATAAGAGGGAGCAAGTAGCTACAAGTAGTACAATGGGGCATTAGAGGATCTTTATATTGGCAATAGTTGCATGTCGAGACAAAATAAGACAGAATTATCTTGGCTAGACATTTTGGAAATTTGAGAGAACGAGAAGGTGTTAAATGAACAGATTGTTTTCAGGTGTGTTTTTTCGTCTTTTTCCTCTTCTAAAACGCGAAAAGAATAGAAAGAGACTACAGCTATCCCCCACCTACTCAGTGTTATTTAGGGTACGCGTATGCACGTTCCCACTTTTTTTCTCTCACCTATATCACTCCTTATTTCTTTGTCGACATTTATTTCGACATTATCATAATTTTTGTATCCTGGAATGATTGATTGAAAATAGAATGGAGTTGATTGATTGGAATGATTGATTAAAATGGATACAAAGGGAGAGAGAGAGTGACAAAGAGAGGGGAAGTAATAATAATAATAATAATAATAATAATAGTGGAATCATATAAAGGTAAAATAGAGGAGGTGTATGGATAGAAACAGGGATAAGGGATGATCGATAAAGATAAGGTACATCTCAATATTTTTGTCATAATAATAATTGGTTAAGATAATTAAAATGCCAGCAAGCTAGCAAATGAAGGGGCGTTTCCGGGATTCCAATTTTCTTTCTTTTTTCTTCTTCTCTTTTTCTCCTTTGCTGAAAGTGTCAGGAAGTTAATTTCTGCGTCTAAATTTTGGTCTTCAAAATTTGGATGCGGAAATTATGCCCTCTCGTAAAAGTGCGAAAACGACGGAAAGTGTTTCAGAATCATAAAGATAGTGATCGGAATATGCAGTTCGGTTGTAAAACGGTGTAGAGGACAAAAATAGCCACCAATTACCGACAAAATTAAATGTCCTAATATCTACAAATTTAACCATATAAACCCGGGGCCGAAGGCTAAATTGTTTTTCCTATGGACTATCTTTTGTACTTGCGTATGCGCAAATGGTCATTTTCCTCGACGACATAAATATACGAATTATTTCGTCAATTTAGTCAGCATCGTAGCTATATATTTTAATGCAGGCGCGGAGCTAGGATCTTATTTTAGGGAGGGGCGGTAGTGAGCAAGCGAATCCCTTAAAGAGCGCGCAAAGCGCGCTCATAAGGGGGATGTTGGGGAATAGGCCTCCCGAGCGAAGCGCGGAAGCTTAGACGTTCCTTAAATAATTAGGAAAAGAAGACGATTTAATATACCATTTTCGACTGTTAATCCTTGTCTGAAAGAAGTTCCCCCCACCCTCCCGCGCGAAGCGCGAAAGCTTTGACGTTTCTTTAAATTATTAGGAAAGCAGACGATTTGTTGTACCGTTTTCGACTCTTAATCCTTGTCTGAATTTAGTTTCCCCCCTTCCTGCGCGAAGCGCGAAAAGCTTAGACGTTTGATGTAATAATTTTAGAAGGAAGACGATTCGTTGCATCGTTTTCGACTCTTAGTAAGCCCTATTTATCTGAATTCAGTTTCCCCCTCTCGCGCGAAGCGTGGAAGCTTTCACGTTTCCTTAAATAATTATAGAAAGAAGACGATTCGTTGCATCGTTTCCCACTCTTAATAAGCCCTATTTGTCTGAATTCATGTCCCCCATCTCGCCCGAAGCGCGGAAGCATGGACGTTTGACTTAATTATTATAGAAAGAAGACGATTCGTTGCATCGTTTTCGACCCTTAATAAGCCCCATTTGTCTGAATTCAGTTTCCCCCTCCTTGTTTGAATTTAGTTTCCCCAAAAATGTTAAACCTCTGATTTCTTTAGCTGATATTATAGGAAAGTGAAAGTTCGGGAAATTACAAGTATTCTAGTTGTAGTCACTCTCGAAGTCGTCACAGCGGATAAAAAGTCACAATTCGTAGGGAAAAAAAACTTGTCGGCCGACCGACAATATACATCTCACCGACTTCACACTTCTGCATTGATATAGTACACGAGGATCGAGCAAGAAAACCGACACAGCTGACCCAACGCAGCAATATATGTTACCCGTATCTTTCTTGCTCCCTGGACGAGACGACTCCACCCAACAACCCCCTCTCTCTTTTACTCCCACTCCTCCTCTCTCAGACCCTAACCTCCCCTCTCTCTCCTCTCTTTCCTCCCCCGTTTCTTTTGTTTCCCTTTTCTCTTTTTTCTTCTTTTTTCTTTCTTTTTCTTTTTTTCTCTTTCTTTCTTCTCTTTCCTTTCTTTTCCTTTTTTTCTTTTCTTTTTCTTTTTTCTTTTCTTTCCCTTTCCCTCTCCTTTTTTCCTTCCCCCTTTTCTCTTTTTTTCCCGACGGCAGCCAATTTACCGACAATATCCTGACAGGGGGGGGGTGTCGCACCCCCATCCCCCCTCACTTTGGAGACGCCCCTGAGTGGACACCAAGTTTAAATGGTGTAAGATAGTGGATATAAAGACATAAAATGACATGAAATATTTGAAATTATACACTTAAATTGTAAATAATAATTATGATAATAGCTAGTTCTTATATTATTACAATAGCGCTTTTCAGGACCGAAGGCCTTCTCGAAGCGCTTCACAATTATATATATTATTACCCCGATCATCGGATTCAGGCTTTGCCGCACACATACTCCCTGGGGGAGCATTCTAGCCAAGCGCCATTTTTACAAGCGCACACTTGCTAATCCAAGCAATTTTAAAAACAGGTGCGTTTCGCTGTGAACAGGCGCGATAACAGTCGCCCTCAAAGCTACGTCTAAACTATGTTCCCGGCATCACGGCAGCCACGTTTGCCTGAAACATTCTGTATTCAAGATTTGTTGGGTGTTGCTAAGTTTTTGTCAAGGTCTATCACGGTATCCTTCCCCTCGTTGCTTCACGTCCATCCCTTTTTGTACGCAAAGGCCGGCGTGAATAGAAATGTAAACACAGCTTGAAATGACGTCACAATCGGAAAATGAGCGCCATTTTTTAGGGAAAGCTCAGTTACACGTTTCAACAAGTTGCAACTTCAAGCATCTTAGTCCAGAATCTGGCCTATTTAATTTTGATCTCCACCGCACCAACGCTACCTCTCCCTACTTACTTGCTACCAGCCGATGATGGCGTGATCATTAAGTAAAGACGCCCGGCGAAACTCAGGCTAGGCTGGTGAGCATAATAGACCAGTTCACGGTTAGCACATTACTGCAATGACCCCGAATATCCACAGATCTTCAAAAACATGAAAAGGTCCCACTTTGTACATTTTGAAATAATCACTCATACAGCGATGGAGGTGTTATATAAATAGCCTTTGTTACCCCTTTTCAAAGAATACTTCCACCTGTGTATCATGGAGTGCACTGCTTGTGCATTAATGAATAATGATTACATAACTTTCATGAGCACGTATCCAGTATTTCGTCTCCGTGTATATCAAAATTTGTTCTGCAATGACCTTTATCTACTCATGCTCAGACTGCAACCGTGAACTGGCTTCTGTTGATAACGCCATCTTCGACGGCTTGGATCAAGTGTGGGGAAATTATAAAGGACCGTGCAGATTCTGGATTACAAGCATCTCCGCCTGGCTGCCGCCACTAAAACTTTAAGCATCTCCGTACGGCGGCCGCCAACTGGAAACTTTAAAGTTGCAACTTTAACAACCTATTTTTGGCGGGGGCCGGCTGGGCCAATTATAGACGTGCCGCCAGGCGGGGGGTGGATGGGCCGATTAAAGATTCCGTGGTAAAACTCAGATCCCAGCCTGGCGCAAGCCGGCTGGGCTAATCAGTGAAAATTAATTGCCCCAGCCAGGCTTCGGGCGGAATTGCAGCCTCGATCCGCCAATGCGTGAGGCGGTAGCCAGCTGGTATCGATATTTTTGACGCCTCGCCTAAAATTTCACTAAGAGAAAAGTGGTGTATTCACCAAATGTGCAAAATAACGCATTTATTATATATATTCTCTCGACTGAATGAGTGAGCTACGATTTTTACTCACCATACTTAATTCCGTTTTTTGTGTGTTGCTACTTTAATGAGTTCGATATTGTCTCGTTAAGGCGAGAGTTAAATATTAAATATTAAAAGATATGCATTCTTTTAAAATAATCACACTATTCATCTGTCCGTTGACATTGTATATTTTGCCAAGGCATCGCAGAATTAGTACATTAGGGAAGAAGAAGTGTAGTATGCCATATCGAAAACATGCCATCTTACTTATTGTTTAACATTTTCCTTGATCTCATGGAAGAAAAAATTTCATCTTGAATAACTTGTTTGCCTTAGATTGGAAGCAAAGTGTGTTTGATAGCGATTTTAATGTTTTGGGTCCCGTCAAACAAAGATATTAATTTTAGCAATTTATATTTGGAATTGACAATGATTTACAATTATTTGATTGTATGATCAATCAATCAATCATACAATCAATTGCTAAGTTTTGTGCTACAGGTCCCTAGAGTTAAAAAAAAAAATATCGTAAACAGGATCGTCTCATAACTTTTGGCTAATTGTATCAAATGTTTGGCAAAAAGGGAAATCTGGAAGAAATACACATTCGGAACAAACTGAGTTTAAATGTTTTTTTGTTTTCCTTTTTATTCTGCATGGAAGATAATGGTGGAAATGTTTATTGTTCGGTTCTTTAAGGACGATGGGGGCTTATTTCAGGTGATTTTCAGCAGGAAAGGAACTGTGAATTGAATAGAAAAAAAAAGATAAACACGACATTTTAATAGACTATTTCGATCTCGCGCTGAAGTGTTTCTATTTTGTCAAAAGGGCTTATCATTACTTTATATACACCACTTGTACTTTTCCCGCGAAGAAGTAAACAGTTTACCAAATCGGCGTATGATTAATTATAGCCAGCAGGAGCATCTCCCCCTCCTTCTTACCACTACTATATTATTGTCGAAAAGGATGTATCTGAACATACAACCGATGTGTTCTCCTTCGGGAAAATGTTGAATCTTTTAATTCTTTAATTACCTTTTTACCATTAATTTGATAATCTAGATGATAATTTTTTTTTTATGCAGGGTTGATGTTGTCCATGTAACGGGTATTCCCAATGAATGTCAACCTTTTTTGTTTGTTTTTGTTTCATAATTATGTATGAAATAAAACATGTACTATTCTTACATGAAGTTTGATCAATTACGGTTGACCCGCACGGTATAGTTAAAACGCTATATGTAAAAACCCTTATTGAACTAGCAATCTTTTATTAAAATAAATAAATATACTGATTTAAAAAAGTATTTACGGATATGATGAAGGTTGTACAACAATCATGCCCGTCCCCTTGGCAAAGTTGAGTAACAGCTAATATAGGCTGGAACAAAAGATATTAACGATGATGTGGTCACAGTGTTAAAAAGTAGCGTAAAGGACAAGCCTGTCTTGGTTGGACATCTTCGATGGGCTATGACAAGCCGTCATCAGTAATCTCTGTTCCCTTCAAAAGATCAAATACAAAGCGCTTGTGGTATGAAATACTTAAACAGAAATAGGACGTTTTGGCAAAAAAGGTTGCCATATCCTGTCCCAAAAGTTTTTTTAAAAATACAATTAATAAATGTGTAAGTGATTTTAATCCTATGGACATACCACTAGAATCAAAGAGCTCGTTCAGTTTATTATGCAAATACATGGAATCATCTTTTCTTATTGGTTGAACATCTTTAATATTAGAATGTTATTTCAAATCCAAAACACAATGGTATTACGATTCACATTTCGAAATCTAGTTAGTTATCCTACTCATATTTAAAAAAAATCTTTGTTTGGTTTGATATTATCATGAGAACATTCAAGTGGAAGCTTACCGTATGCTTAATTCTGTGATGTGTCCAAAATAAACGAAGAAACGCGCGAGGTCTTCAGTCTTTCTCCTCATCAGCAGTTTCAACGGTGTTAACTAAATGCTTCCTAGCTATCAAGTATTCACATGTATCTTGTCCAAATTTCAGTCAAAGTAACAGGTAACAACTCACTTGAAATGTCTGTTCTTGAACCTATCATTAAGAAACAAAATGACGGTGAAATACTGTTTTTCAGAAACAGGAGGGTGCAATTAGTGTCCGTTAAATGGCGAATCTGGTATTGGCACTATGTCGAAACACGCAGTGCTCGGAAACACTTGCCCCAGAAAATAAATCTCAATACAGATTCCGGGTGCAGAAATATGTTATTATCCATAATCCGAGTCCCATGTAAAATTAAGGGATAAGATACAATGACTTATAACGAAAGGGGTGCGCAGATGTAATAGTACATACATGTGGTGTATAGTGTATGTGTGTCTGTGTGTGTGTGTGCCTATTATCTCTTGGCGCACCCCAAATCGAAACATTCCACATGAAGTGCTTTGCAAAGTCGTCAGCATATACTTCAAAACATATTTATTGCTCAGTCAGTCGGAAAAACTATTTGTGATGCAAATTATATATTTTGCAAGAGCTTGCTATCTGAAAAGAGTACTGTAGATATTGGGGAGCTTAACAGCGACAGAGAAAGAGAACAATATAAAAATATATCGAGAGGCAGACAGAGAGAGAGAGAGAGAGAGAGAGAGCAACTGCTTTTGCAACAATTTACAATTGGGGAGTTTATCATTTCGTTGCTAAATGTGTTCATATATTTTGGGCCGAGTTTCAGGAAGAATACTAGTGAGGGGAAGGTGGAAATGATTGGATTGTCTGGTTGGGTATTGTAATATTATTATGTACGGATCTATTACTTGTAAACATGCTGAGTAAAAAGTACAACACCTCATGAAATTAGGTACTGGAAATTTCCGAATTTTAGTGTCGCAAAGTTTAGCTGCGTGATTTAGATTTGTTATGAACTATTCTAATGCCTTTTCGTTACAAAACAGTAATTTCATCTGTTAGGCTTTTAATATTATTTCTCAGATCCACTAGCATTATTCCAATACCATTGCAACGGTTACCACAACAGTCTCCTTTAGGGGTAAAATAAATGACACGAGTTAAATAAACCTTACGAACTCACGGAATATAACAGTAAATATAAAATTATGCACATGGGCAAGTTTATACTTACACAAAATCGTCGTCATCAATCCGAAGCATAAATCTTCTCCATTTTCACAAACAATGTTATTTACATTCACATTTTTAAATGTTTATCTTATTTTCATTACATTATATCCATAGCTGTAAACAGATCTTGTACTAAAGTTAAGGTAATATTAATAGAAAGTGCTATTCTTGTGCGATCCAATGAGCTCGTACCTTTTAAAAGGCATGTATTTGTATTACCAAGTCCCTCGTAGAGGACTGATTGTTTACTTTAAATCATACACTTGTTTTTCTAACAGTCAGGTTAAAAAAATAAACCAAATTGTTTTTCACTTACCAGGGATATTTGCTTAAAAAGCAAACGACGCTGCAGTGAAGCTGAAGAATTTCGAAATTGTGAACATCAATTCAATTCAATTCAATTTTATTTCGCCCAATAATGACATGGACATTCATTGTGCGATTTTACATAATGCGTTTACAATAAAATAATGTATAAAAAGACATCAAAAGCATGACATTGAAATAGGAAATAATTACATTCAAAATCGGTGAGAAATTGGACAAACATAACATGACATCGACACAATGCACAACTATACTTAATAAAAAGGCCCCAAGATTTTCAACATAACGTAAGTACACAATCCTCCGATCCCTTGCATCCCCCCCTTCACCCCAGAAACTCATCCCAAGCCGGAGAGACATATATATATATATATATAGATAGAGAGAGAGAGGGGGGGGGGGTGCATAGATAGAACAGAGACAGAGACAGTGAGAAATAACGAGAGATAAAGATATAGAGAGAGGAAGAGGGGGATATAAGAGAGAGAAGATAAAAGAGAGAGAGAGAGAGAGAGAGAAAAGATGGAACTTTTTTTAAAGCTTTTTTTTATTCATTTATCCGTCAAACGGGGAGCAAAATCCTAACAAAAGCGCAAAAGAAATCTCATTGAGGATTTTAGTAAGTGATCGAAAGCTAAGAGATTTCTCTCAAACGTTTAACTTTTGCTAAAGTTTTTTTTTTTTTTTTTGGTCCCGCTTCATGCTATATTCGGGGCAGTATTCAACTAATGGCTGATGAAACTTATGTGATAGGGAACATGTAGCAAAGAGAACAGTTTTTGATTCCAAATTCTTAACCTAAGACCGCTATTCATAAACAGGTTCTTACACCCTTTATTGGTGCTCGACATTCCGAGACACTGAAGCGGGAAAGCGGCAACCACTGCAACTCTTCCCCTATCCCCTCCTTCTCTTTCTTCCCACTTCTCACTTCGTACGTATGGCTACAAATTAAGCGGGGAAACTCATATGTATCTTTTAATGATAAACAATTCTTTACTCATGTTGTTTCAGATACCATATAATAGCCTCTTTTGATAATAGCTGTATTCTTTTGAGACTGATTGGTGTACATTACGTAGAGTTGTACATTACACACAAATGCGCATTTAATATGTGAAAAAACATATTGTTTGTCGGGCTTTGAGAGAAGAATCGATAAATTGACTTAACAGGAGATATGGAGGGGGAGGGGTGGGGTAGAAGTAATAGGATGAGAAATATAACGTGACATCATAGAATTAACGATGAGAGTAATCGAACTTCAGATGAACGGATAGGAGATATAATATCCTGGTCCTAGATCATATCGACCTCTTGATTGTAGGTGCAGTGGGAATAAACCAGTGGATTTATGATGTAAAGTGTTACAAAGCAAACTAGAATACAACTACAAGGCAGTTCATACTATGATAAACCAAGATATGACTATAAGTTAATTGGACAATTACTATGCTGTTTTTTTATGGACTTAGTGTCGGAAGGCGTGTTGGATTCATGATAAATATTATTTCGATAAGCCAGCCTCAAGTTTATGACTTTGTGTAAAGAAGCAGTACTTCGAAAGAGTTTATTAGATACCAAAAGTAAGTTCGTGTCCAATACGTGTCAACGCGGCCTGCCAAGTCAGACAAGAAAAGTTAATGGGGACTTTTAGATTCTGCACGAGAACGCGGACTGCCCTTTTAAGGCAATGTGACGTCACTGCCAGTGCCTTAAAAGGACGTCACATTGCCTTAAAAGGGCAGTCCACGTTCTCGTCGTGTAGAATCTAAAAGTCCCTAATGTTGGCTGAATTGGAACGAAGTTAGCCTTTAGACAAGGCGTCATGTCTGAGAGACGCCGAGCTACTAAAAAGAGACTAATTGCGAAAACCCGAGTGAACGGCAGAGCGAGTGGCCCTAACGCCACTCGATCGCGCGTTCACCCTGGGTCTTTAGATTAATTTTAGCTGCTGATGGGGTAGAAATTAACCAGAGTTACGAAGCCTTGTCAAAAGGCTAGAACAAAGTCAGATGTACCACCAATAACGATCTTTAGATATCAATACAGGCATTCTTTCTGTTAAGGTTCGAAAAATGAATAGATAGAAAGAGAAATCAGAAGGAGAAAAAAAAAGATAGACATAAGAGGTGAGAAATAGAAAGAGAGAGAGAGAGAGAGAAAAGGAGAGACAGAAGAGTGATAGAGAAGGATAAGGGAGAAGGAAGGCCATTGGAGAGCGAGAGAGGGAGAGAGAGAGAGAGAGAGAGGGGTATGTCGGCCTTGTCAGGTAGTAGACTGTCGTTCTCGTGCG